ACAATGTTATTATTTGATAACAATGTTATTATTTGATAACAATGGTATTAATTGATAACAATGGTATTATTTGATAACAATGGTATTATTTGATAACAATGGTATTAATTGATAACAATGGTATTATTTGATAACAATGGTATTATTTGATAACAAGGGTATTACTTGATAACAATGGTATTATTTGATAACAATGGTATTATTTGATAACAATGGTATTATTTGATAACAATGGTATTAATTGATAACAATAGTATTATTTGATAACAATAGTATTACTTGATAACAATGTTATTATTTGATAACAATGTTATTATTTGATAACAATGGTATTAATTGATAACAATGGTATTATTTGATAACAATGGTATTATTTGATAACAATGGTATTAATTGATAACAATGGTATTATTTGATAACAATGGTATTATTTGATAACAAGGGTATTACTTGATAACAATGGTATTATTTGATAACAATGGTATTATTTGATAACAATGGTATTAATTGATAACAATAGTATTATTTGATAACAATAGTATTATTTGATAACAATAGTATTACTTGATAACAATGTTATTATTTGATAACAATGGTATTAATTGATAACAATGGTATTATTTGATAACAATGGTATTATTTGATAACTATGGTATTATTTGATAACAATGGTATTATTTGATAGCAATGGTATTATTTGATAACAATAGTATTACTTGATAACAATGTTATTATTTGATAACAATGTTATTATTTGATAACAATGGTATTATTGTATATTTTAGATTCACTGGCTGTCTATTATCAACTCGATGGTTTTAGTTTTTCTACTCATTGGTTTTGTTGTTATTATCATGGTAAGCTTTATTTTGTGTATGAAAACTCACAAATTGTGAGAACAGTTTAAACTTCATTCACTTATATACCAACAAATATACAAACAACATCCCTCCAATCTTACTCATATCTTTCATCTGTATTACAAATACCCCCTTCCACATCTCAACACCATTGTATCAGATACACACAAATCATTAAAAATTATATTATATTAATATCCCTCCAATCTTACTGATATCTTTCATCTGTATTACAAATACCCCCTTCCACATCTCAACACCATTGTATCAGATACACACAAATCATTAAAAATTATATTATATTAATATCCCTCCAATCTTACTCATATCTTTCATCTGTATTACAAGTACCCCCTTCCACATCTCAACACCATTGTATCAGATACACACAAATCATTAAAAATTATATTATATTAATATCCCTCCAATCTTACTCATATCTTTCATCTGTATTACAAGTACCCCCTTCCACATCTCAACACCATTGTATCAGATATACACAAATCATTAAAAATTATATTATATTAATATCCCTCTAATCTTACTGATATCTTTCATCTGTATTACAAATACCCCCTTCCACATCTCAACACCATTGTATCAGATACACACAAATCATTAAAAATTATATTATATTAATATCCCTCCAATCTTACTGATATCTTTCATCTGTATTACAAGTACCCCCTTCCACATCTCAACACCATTGTATCAGATACACACAAATCATTAATAATTATATTATATTAATATCACTCAGATGTTTGTGGGTAAAACATGGCAGCAGATTCTAAGTGAATTAGTGACTGGATGGGACAAATTGTCTATTGAAGACGACTTGCAGTGTGCAATGAGGGAAATTTAGCTAGCTTAGTCTAGCGTATTCACAACCATCAATTTGTGCATTTGGGGAGATGGTGGCATTGCATGGTTTTGAGTATTTTTGAAAACTAGACCATTTTTTAAAAAAGTAACTGGAAAAAGCGTCTAGATGGAAAAATCGAGGCCCTGTGTGTTACACGGCTGTATACCTTAAAAATCTCTCGACAGTTGGAAATTGACAAAGAGCATTCACTGTCTTGGCAAAATTTCCTTCATTGCACACTGCATGGCGTTGCCCGTCTTCATTAACCCACTTGGTGCAGAAAAGTAGGA